CAGGAGGTGACGGCATTCCAGTCCTCCTCGCTCCGTACCATAGTCTGAAATAGAGCCGGCCCCGGGAGATCGCCGTCGCTGATCGCATCCCTGAGGACACGGCGGTGCTCTCCACGCAGGGCACACCGCCACCGTATGCTCCACCGCGTCCTCCAGGCGGTCCTCGCAGTGATGACACTCGGGCGTTTCCTCCACCCAATTCGAAACAGGAACTTAGCGAAACTTCCGTGTCCGGTAAGCACCTGCGTCTGACGGTAGGTGAGGACGCCGTAGCGTCTCTCAAGCCAGGCCTCAGAGAGGGGACTTACTGCTACGTAATGACAGTGAGCCCAGTCCTCGGTTGCGACAGTCGCGCCGGAGCTTCACGCACTAATCTGGTGTGGCAGCGGAGATTCGCCCCGGTAATATGCCTCCGCGCGCAAACAAAACGGGCGCCCGAGCCCTTCGCCTCCGGGCCCCACGGAAGTAATCCGGCAAGGAGGTACACCACCACCCCGAAAATCGTGGGATATCCGCGGATCAATCAGATCGCCATGACCCTCTGAGATGTAAGCAGCGCCCGAGCTGTCCGACAAACGTCGGAAGTGCTCCACGAAGTTCTACCAACTGTCGAAGACAAGTCCCAGTCAAGAGTCCCTGTCGACATCCCACGGTGTCGTCGTCTCGACACCGATCGTAACCGCTCTCGCCGTTATATTAGCCGTCGCCTCAAGCGACCTCCCGTGCGCCAGCACCAGTTTGTCGCCAGCATAGCCGACCACGCTGACGCCGCTAAAGAGGTCGGTGCGTAGCACCCAGTCATAGTCGATGTTCCACAGGAGCGGCCCTAAAATCGAACCCTGTGGAATACCGTGCAACGTCTCTCGCCGGTGTGGAACGGTGGTAATGACGTACGTAATAAAAAGGGTATATTTGAAACGAACCAGAATGGAGTGGGGTCAGAACAAAAGGGTTTACTTAGTTTTAAAAGGAATAAGTAAATTGAAAAAGTTAATAAGCACCAGGTGAGAAGACACTGTACTAAAGCGTTGCTTACGTTGTTGTTTATAATTAAAATACTTAGAGCTTTTGCAATGCAGCGCTTTAAGCACAAGGGACCGTGTTAGAAACTTAGCTAATATTCACACAACAATGTTACTGTTTTCTGTTATTCGTACTTTTCTACTAATATGACTCGCTCAAAGTACCTAACAAGTAAGTACTCTATCAAAAGTTTATCTCAACAATTTCAAGCAACCACAACTAAGTTTAGACTGAACACCAAAAGCTCGTGTAAACAATAACTTCTCGCGATCATCTCAACCAAGATATGTGTACACCAATCTTCTTTGAATTATAAAGAAGTGTATCTATAGACCTAAAACCAAATTCTTGAGAAGTTCAACTTTAGAACAACACAAACACTAAAACGAAACATACAGTTATGGTCAGGAGCCGATCAAATAAGACAAAAAATAAGTGTTATCTAAAAGTTGGACTTACTTGTGGCACTCCTTCACTATTGTAACATGAAGCTAGTTGTTTAGAACCAATACGGGGTGTGTGGTAGTAATCCTGTGCGGTTGCGGACAGTATTAAGGATATAAATGTGGTAAATAGCGATGCGGCCGGCGCCATCTTAGGGCGACGCGACGTGAGCTCGCGCGCTTCGAGCAAGCACTGAGTGACGCGTGGTGGTTTCACAACATTTGGACAAAGACTAAGCGGTCGCGTTCCTTAAAATCAGTTTGACTCTGTGAGGATATCGTCCGTAAGTACAATTTTAATTCTTCGAACATGTTTTTTTATTAGTGGCACAGTAATTTTAGCATTATATTCGGAAATTTCTTTAGTGCGTTTTTTATTTTTAGCTAAGATTGTTAAAGCCTAGCAACGTATGGTTTTAGTTACATTCATTTGGTATAAAAATGTCGTCAAAATCGGTCCAGCCATTTCAAAGATTAGTCAAAACAAACAGATAGACAAGATTTGTAAAAAATGTAATTTTACTAGTAAACTTATCTAATCTACCTTCTAGAATTGTTACTATGTCAAATTTTATATTCAGTTATTACTTTTTATGTCTTATAACTTGATCTAACTATTATGTCAACGGTTCCATAAAATCACTTGGAGTGCAATAATGCAGCAGCAATATTACAAGTTACATGTACACATCCTTTCATGTAAAGCAAGAGTTATTTAAAAGCAATCCACCTACAACTTTAAAAAAATAAGTCATGAACTCCAGCTTCCTACCCTGCTTAACATAAAGTTCCCAGAATCGGAAATTCGCAACAAAAGTACAACAATAGATTAATATCTATCAAAGAGGACTGGAGCGCAACATGTTGAATGTAAAGAAGAAAGACAAAATAAGACACACGAGTATAAGGAAAATAACAAAAACAACAAACACTATAACCTATGCTCAATAACTTAACAATAATTGAAGAACATGTGGCGCGACTATCAGACCTGAGATGTTACCATAAAATTAACAACCACGGCCCACTAGGCAAGCGAATTATAGGAAGACACACGACACGTTGGGAAGACTGTAGGGGTTATTTTAAGGATATAGCGGGCCCTCAGTACCTTATTGCATAAGTCTCATCTCAAATCTAATTCAACTTTGCTTACACTTTCAAATACCATGAAGTGTATGTCATTTGATACTAAATATAATGTCTCAAGACGTTCCCAAAGGATTATTTTGCAAGATAAACAAATAATTTAGCTTGCGTTGATGTAGTTTGTCTTCTATTGTGCAAGATTGTGACGTTGTGGGAATAATCTCTCATTGCCGACCGTAGTGCAAGCTATGGTTGACAGTGAGAGTGCATGGAATGGAGTCGCTTCCTTCTGTGAACGTGTCATGTTGGCAAAGGAGGCGATTGAAAGGGAGAGAGAGGCGTCCACCTCTCTCCCTTCCCGCCGTAGATGCGCCGGCCGTCAACGCCGCGACGTGGTAGCTGATCTGCGACCTCCATAGGAGAGACCTGCGCGCGACTGATTAGGTGAGTTAGTACGCTGTATGCGCGGGAGAAGGCGTTAGCGTTGTGTTCCATGCGCGCCACTGGAGGAAGGAAATCGCAGCTTCTGAGGGTTGCTACGTAGTGAGACCTGCCGCAACATAGCGGCAGGTCGAGGCCTGCCAGGTGCGGTGAATCTGCAAGGGTGTCCACGGCCACAGGCAGATGAGGAACACTGCGGTGGTTTTAGCCGGTAAGAGTCCGGCACAACTCCCTTATCGTCCCCACGGCGTGGGAAGTCCATGAGGATTTCCATCGCCTTATTTATGAACTACACGCGGTTGCTTTTGCTGTTTTATTGGGAACTTCAGGAGTACCAGAGTACCTCTTCCAGGACTACCTATGTTCAAGACATCACTCCCACTGTTTTTATTGTGAAACAGTAGTTTCGACTGGATTATCTCAGTCACCAGCAACGGAAGTGATTTGTTGTAAGAAAGTATCCCTTAAAATTATGATACGGTTCATAAAGTAGGTTTGTCCCTACAAGGAAGGCATTTTGTGATTGGCCTGTTTATGGTTCTTAGTTTTCTAAACGACTTCTATTCTTTTGCTTGTTGTGATCGTAAAAAGACGATATGCCATTCGAGCATCAATTACGTTTAGTGTTGTGTAATGTGCAGATTACAGTCGAACATTAACTTGACTAATTCTATTAAATTCGTTAACATCCATCCCATTTGAAATTGAGAAAAGAAAAAAAAGCAAGAATTCAAGCTTGAATTCAATAAAATCTTCGTCAGATATGATAATGAAGTAATTAATAAAACAATTAAGTTATCTTCTAGAGTAGGGACTCGTTCAATTCGTGACTCAGCAGCACCTACAACTTACACCCTTCTAAGGGTAGCGTTAATTTTATTTATAATGACACAATTTACATGTAGACATTCGTATACATGACGGATGCGATAAGCTTGTTCCGTTTGCACAGATAACGGTACATTAGGCACAGAGCTAACGAACTCATTACTATACTGTACCGCCCGACTCCGTTTGATAACCTTCGATCTCCAAAAATGTACTAGCTAGCAACTGTAGGGGTTATTTTAATGGCTTATCTATGCTTATAATATATTCATTCAAGATATTGTCTTGCTTTATCGACGTTTTTGTTGAAGGGATGGACACTTTGGCATTGTCGTTAAGATTGCCTGGTACTCCTCAAAACCGGTTGCTCTCTTCTGCGAATTTAATCAATGGCTTTCGCAGACCTTTACCAATGTTCCCTTTTACCCTTTTACGTTATTCTTAAATGTATGTCAATAACTGTGTTATCTTGCTTTCAGAGTATTGTAATGGTACTAAATACGTATCAGTGGTCGCTCGCAGCATCCAAGAGTATGTTGATAACCGACCGCTGTGTAGTAGAGTGTTATCACCCTTGAGCCATTAGAGTGACGTACGTAATAAAAAGGGTCTATTTGAAACGATCATGAATGGAGTGGGGTCAGAACAAGCGGGCTTATTTAGTTTTAAAAGGAATAAGTAAATATAATAGTTAATAAGCACCGGGTAAGAAGACACTGTACTAAAGCGTTGCTTACGTTGTCGTTTAAAATTAAAATACCTACTTAGAGCTTTTGCAATGCAGCGCTTCAAGCACAAGGGACCGTGTTAGGAACTGCTAACATTCACACAACAATGTTACTGTTTTCTGTTATACGTACTTCTTTACTAATATCACTCGCTCAAAGTACCTAACAAGAAAGTACGCTAACAAAAGTTTCTCTCAAGCAACCACAACTAAGTTTAGACTGAACACCAAAAGCTCGTGTAAACAATAACTTCTCGCGATCGTCTCAACCAAAATATGTGTAGACCAATCTTCTTTGAATTATAGAAAAGTGTATCTATAGATCTAAAACCAAATTCTTGAGAAGTTCAACTTTAGAACAACACAAACACTAAAACGAAACATACAGTTATGGTCAGGAGCCGATCAAATAAGACAAAAAATAAGTGTTATCTAAAAGTTGGACTTACTTGTGGCACTCCTTCACTATTGTAACATGAAGCTAGTTGTTTAGAACCAATTCGGGGTGTGTGGTAGTAATCCTGTGCGGTTGCGGACAGTATTAAGGATATAAATGTGGTAAATAGCGATGCGGCCGGCGCCATCTTAGCGCGACGCGACGTGAGCTCGCGCGCTTCGAGCAAGCACTGAGTGACGCGCGGTGGTTTCACAACACTCGGCCAAAGACTAAGCGGTCGCGTTCCTTGACATCGGTTTGCCTCTGTGAGGAAAGGGTCCGTAAGTAAAATTTTAATTTTTCGAACATGTTTTTTGTTAGTTTCATAGTTTAGCGTTATAGTCGGAGATTTATTTATGCGTATTTATTATTTTTGGCTTTGATTGTTAAGCCTCACAATGAATTGGTTTTAGTTACTTTAATTTGGAACAAAAGTCTCGTTAAAATCGGTCCAGCCATTTCAAAGATTAGTCAGAACAAACAAGAAGACAAATTGTTAAAAAATTATATTTCTGCGTATGTATCGTATGTATATTCGTATACATGTAATAAAACTGGTTATTTCAATATTAAAAACAGACACTCCAATGTTTATAGGTATAGATAATTATACATACCATTTAACTTATATACGTATTTTAAAATTATGTACATTATTGCCATAAGAATAAATAATGAATGTTTTGGTAAATCACATAAAACAAACGCAATAACTATGGCAGTATGCAATTAAGACAGCATTAATCTTCTTTACGCATTTTTAATGGTCAGAGTTTACAACTTAACCTCATCAAGAAAGCGTCGGCAGACAGGTACCTTGTCTACTAAATCCCTATTCTTTGCGTCGCACCAGTCGTAGAGAGCGTGGCCTCATACCGTCGATTTTTTTGTGAGCAAACCTGAAAAGGTTCGCCTTTTGTTTTTTGTTAGAATGCCAACATGTGCGGTCAGTTGGGGAAGGAATCAGCGAACCGTGCAAAGGTCCCGATGTTCCCAATTTTGAGTTTACTGCATAGTTGTCCTTGCAAGCTTTTGTCATCTCCATTGACCCTATATGACGATTTTTTTTAATACTCGATATAATTGTTTCCGTGTACAAAACTACTTATTAAGAATTACTTAAACTAATCATTTGTAAATAAGCCAAGAGAACTCATCTAGTCAAACTTTAGTTCAGTTATTAATTTCATATAGTAAAACTTGACCTAATTATTAGGTTCTATAAAACTACAATAATGCAGCAGCAATATAACAGATTAGAAGTTATTGACAGTTACAAAGTCCTTTTATGTAAAGAAAGTTGTTGAAGCAGTTAAGATTTTTTAACACACGAATCAAATACATAGGTTTGCTTGTTTACTCGTTTGAGCAGATCTGAAAGAATCAATCTGAACCATCACTGAAATAATACCAACTTTCGTCATCATAATCAACAGCCAATAAGTGGCCACTGCCGGCCAAAGACCTCGTCTCGCACGGAGAAGTTTTGAGCATTAATCACCACACTTGCTCAATGCTGGTTGTCGATTTCAAACTAATAATTGGAAATTATTAGCCCAGGTATGTCTTCACGATGTCTTGATTCACCGTTTGTGTCTAGACAATCTTCGAAAGGACTAATAACGAAACTAAAATTCACATTGGTACTTACTTGCCGTTGGTAGGTTTCTAACCCGCACCCTCATGCATTAAACCCGCACTATTAACTTTAGATAGTGTCTAACCTAGATTTCAAATATTATTATTAGAACGTCAACAATGGTTACTAAGCGACGTCGGTCATAATGAACTAACTATAAATATTACGGAAGGAGAGAAAAGGGCTAAATCGAAACCATTACGCAAGTCAGTGCTTACAGCGAGTTCGTGTATTAAATTATGTTATTAAAACTATAAACTATAAATAACTGCAGATGACGCACAGCGTTTAATATCGAATGTTGTGTATCATTTCCCTTCAGTAACCTTCCGATCATCATTGATCGTAAAAAGTAATATGACAAACATTGTCTTTAGTTGCCCACCATAATATTTTGTAGATAAATTGGTTTTTACTACCTACCTGTTGTACTTTGAATTTCATTAAGATTTTGTCCTTCGATTTGTGAAGATTCATAGTCCTTACAAGTGTCTGTGTATAAAATAATAATGATCCTATAAAACTAAGATTTCAGATTTCACCTACCAAATTAACTAGCACACACTTAAGTGTTTATTATTCTGTGAACTATATCAACTAGCGAAATTGTTTATTGCTCATAAAATAATGTGAGAAATGTAAAACAAAGATATTACATAAAGCTTTAACTGTTAAAGTGTCATATCCTATAATAATTACTTAATCTGTGCCGCCGTTTCCCTAGTCTGTCTATTTCGTTTTAAACACATGAATAGTCTTGGCTGCTTAAGAGTACCAGTGCATTAGGTCATTCATATCTTCGTCCTCTTCTCACGTACAGTTACGTCTCTATCGCACAAAGGCTTACTGTTTGATCCGAACCAAATGTTTAGCGTAAGGAAAAAAAATGTTGAATTCAAATTAATGATGATAAAGGATGATTGTTTTAAGTCTGACTGTAATTGCAATCTTTTTATTTGTTAGTAATTTAATCAATCCGTCTTTTTATTTTTTCATTGTTGATTCCATTAATAATAAGGTTGAATTTCCAATATTTATCCGGATTAAGTGTATTTACCTACTTCTTTCAAGCTTCTATAGTACTGATTGTATATTATTGTTTCGTTTCTTTTTTTTTAAATTTGTCACAACTACATTTTTTTACAGAGAGTTACTCATGTCCCTGGGACGCGCCGGACTTCAGTGTTCTGGTGTTTTCATGGTTGTATATACTGTAGATTCTGGCTTACAGGAGTTGCAGCGGTTTTGGGAGGTTGTGGCGGGCTTGTCCCAAACAAAAAAAAACTACATTTTTCCCTCAGAGCAGCGGTCCGATAAACTTGAAAGTTGCAACGAACAGACGAAATTACTCAAAAGTATCTGTAACTAACTATTCATGTACGGTTGCACCCGTGCTGCTAACCTCCTATTGGTCATAGCGTAATGTTTAAAAGCCTATAGCCTTCCTTGATAAATTCGCTATCCAACACAATAAGAATTATTCAGTTTGATTCAACAGTACCGGAGATTAGCGCCTTCAAACAAACAGACTCTTTAGCTTTGTGTTGTTAATAAAGTAGTTAGTATTAGAGTTTGAAAAGTCTATGTTTTTGTAAATACTATTTTGATAGAAATCGGTTGTTAAATTCGATCGTTAATCGTTGTCTCTACTTCAATTCAAATCGTTATAAAACAAGATCACTTAGTTCAGCATACATTTTGTGCATTTTATCTTTTTCTAAACAGATATTAGTGACCTCCAGTGACCTTTAGGTTCATGTACTACAAAACTATTTGATAATTTCTGTGACGTAAAAGTAACACGGTTGTCTATTATTATTAATGTGGTATAAAAATTGTATCTATTAATATTTGAATGACAGATTTATTCGAGCAAAGAATAGAAAAAAATTGTGTATGAAGTATGCTTTCAACAAACAAAGAAGTTTGTTTTAAAAAAAAAAGTAAGCAGATAATTCAATATTTTGTTTTATGTAATAATATTGTAATTAACTGCTTCAGGCAAATGTTGCATGGATAACAAAGACGATTAAAATTGTGATAACCAAAATTTTTGTCTGCATTTTCGGATGGGTTCCATTTACATCCTGTATAGGTAAGAACTTACTTAGTTTTTAGATTACACTTCTGCTTACCCTTTCATAATAAAATGCGTAATGTGATAGTATGCTACTTTTGGAGTTTGTTACCGTCAATCGTGAGAAAGACACAAGTCCTTTCAAAAGTTCTTATTACAGGTACGTTCTACGAACGAATCTGTATATACAGGGGCTTTGTCGGTAACTGGACCTGATTGACAATATCTGGATAAACCGCAGTTAATGTTAACAAAGAAAGGTGTCGAACTAAAAGTCCCCAAATAAATATTTTGTTTTAATTATGATTAAGTACTTGAGCGAGCAAGGTAAATTTTGACCATGATAACATGACAGTAATAACAATAGATAATATATTGGTACAGCACACCAGGGATGGGGCCCAATAGAGCTGATGGCGATAGGGAGCCAAGGAGAACTTAACAGGTTACCGGTGCTGCGGCTCGAAGTGCAGGAGTGTAGGAACGGGGTGGTATTTAGTCAGTAATCCTCCCGCCTCACCCAGGCGGGTTAGTCATTCGAAGATTTTCCCCCTTTAAAAAAATGGTAAGTACAGAACACCAAAATGATAATTGATAATAGTTTAAATGAGCGTTGCCCTTGGACATTCCCAGAGGAATTACATATTAAACAACTAAGATAATAAAATACAATACTTTTCTTTTTTTTTTTTTTTTTTTTTTTTTTTTTTTTCTTTTTTTAAAAAACGTTGCCCCACACTAGGATTTTCTCCTGTGTCGTGGGTGCGTTTACAAACATACAAGTTCACATACACAATGACACCCAGACCCGAAACAACAATTTGTGGATCACACAAAGTGTTGTCCCGTGCGGGAATCGAACCCGCGACACGTTGCACGGCAGCCGGTTGCCCAGCCACCGCACCAACCGTGCAGTCGCTTTAAACATCAAAATAAAATTTGAAGGTCTTTCAAACGTGCTTAAATGTATTGTAACCTATGACAATGTCGCCAAGCAGATGTCGACCACATGTGATTCTGTTATTGCACTAGACAAATTATTGTTCACATGTTGTTCTTCTAAAAATGTATTTTTGGTGTACTTTAGTCAGAAAACTTAGTTTTATTTATTCATATGACATCATTTCTTTTGTCCATCATCAGTATGTAGAGGTATAAACCTCTTCGAATGTTGATGACTGAGTGATTGTAGTGATTGAGTGATTGCCAGACAGCGTACAGTTGAAACCATTGTAAAGTTTCTTGGAAATAATGCCTTGTGGTCACGGCATAATAGAACCCATTTTTGAACTCTTCTCTCTGATCGGTAATAGATAACTACTTGTAAGAAACAAGGGTTTGTTGTCTACTTCCCCTACCAGGGCCATCTTATACTACTCTGGACTCTTTGGCACCTCTATATTGAGAGGTAATTCAAAGCCCTTTTGGAATGTATTTTTTTAATGTTTTGCGTTTACAAACCTATTAGTTCATATACATAATACATATGACACCC